CTTGGCCGACCTCGACCAAATTTGATATACACATTGAGCTTGGCCTCCTTAAGCACCGTATGGATTTTTTTTGAAACCGTTTTGTGGGTAGAGTACGTTGTTGAACAAATCCGCAATAAAATCTGCGTTTTGCTAACTTTAGTCCTGCAATTGCCACGCCCATTTCTAGGGGTTTGTTGCCTTGAAGAAAATCTTGACGTACAAATATTATATCTGGATAGGTACTCTATGGGAATCCTCAATAAAATTTTACTTTTTGCAAAAACCCGATGTCTAACACCTTACTAAATATATCTCAACATAAGGTTTGGAAAACAAATTACCAAAAATCGTTGATTCTCACAAAATACAGCATCTTGTCATAGAGAAAAATATTTTAAAAATATTCCTTCAAAAACACCAATTTTTTTAACCACGTTTTTTATAGAGAATTAAACAAGGATTACGATGGTATAATTTTAAATCCCTAATTTACTGGTCTTCACTATGCAAATGAAATTCAAAAAGTTCAACAGTTAATAGTTAAGTTAGCTTTAGCACAATCTTACCATCTTATGTACAGAAATGTTAAGCCTGTTTCTTTATCTTTAAACCGACGTTAAGATGAAGTCTCTACGATAAGCAGAACCTGAGATATGACGATTTGAAGAAGTACCTGATTAGTCGGAATAACGAAAAAATGCAAACTTTGACAGAACATATCTCCGAAGAAAAAAATAATAATAATAATTCCTCGAAACGTTGTACCGTGAGTATAACATGAGTTTCTTATACCCTTATTTACGCGTTTCCTAGTTTTTATTTTTATTCCCAGAATTTTTGTTTCAATACTTTTAAATTCAACTCCCTTATATTACGCGCCACCACTGTACTCGTTATTCACACTAAACACAGCTTGCATACTTCCCTAAGGTCCAGCTGGACATATGACATTCAATCACGAATTACCGATACCGTAGCGGGAAAGTACGCTGCTTAAGATCAACTTCCGCGACGATCTTTCTTCCCTTTTTCTGGTGGCTAGCTAGCTGAACGCGTGCACAGTCTCGGTGTTTAAAAAAAAAAAAAAAGAATAAAATAAAAATCAATTACTTGTAATAAAGTAGAAAAAAAAGAGAGAAAAGTTTGCGTTTTTCGAAATCCGCTTCTACGATTATTGCTAGCCCACCGAAGCTACTCAGATTTTCATCCTGACCTCTGGATTTGCGGATAACCAACTCTGTTTTTTTTTTCGGAACCAGCGCTTTCTCGATCGCTTGAAGGACCACGTGCCGGAGACCGAGATTTTGCGACATATAGTGGATATGATCATCAAAATATTCCTGACATAATGAGTTTTATAATGATTTATAATTCGTTTTCTGAGTACTTTGAGTAAATTAATAATTAATTGTTTGCGAAAATTTAATTGGAATTTCGAGTCATTCTTCGAAGTCAACTCCAATCTAATGTATTCCCCACATGCACGTGCAATCCCTTACCTAAACCTAAAGAAAAGAAAAGACAATTAAATGTAATAACTAAAAAGAAACGAAAAAGATATAACTAAATACTTACATACCTTAGGATACTTACCTATGAAGTGTAAAGTGAACTGAATTACAAAGATTATCCATTATGTAAAAAGTGTTAAAACCTAAAAAGTACTAGTTATAATACCATATTCATTAGCTGTTATATAAAATATCATCTTAGCTTTTACTTACCCTTTAAGAAGTATAACTTACCTGCTTTTCTTTGGTGTCATGTTGTAGCCCACATGGACTAAAACTAATCTCCCTCAACGTTGAACTTGTGACATACATTTTTCGTTGTTCCTAATATTTTTTTTTTGTCTTTCTAAGACGTGCATTATTTCAATTTCAAGTTCAAGGTCAAAGTAAAGTAATTTAAGAGAGAGCATGATAATCTTAGCTCTCTTCTAGGTTTTTTTGTTTTTCTGCTTTGTCTTTTTGCACTCTCTAAAACAGCTTGCGTGCAAAGCAATAGGGCCAGTTAACTTTTCTTTGAACACTCTCTTAACTCCTATATATATAGCATAATAAATAGGGAAAGATTATAAAATTTTCAGCACTACGATGGAGCAGATATCCGTACGCTTGGAGGGCCTTCTACGCTGCGATGGACTGCCTTATCGGCTTGCAATGTAAGTGAATTAATTTTGTTATCATTACTATTTTTCCTTTACTTTGTATATGCAACCATAGGTATGTACATATGTATGTCTGTACGCATATGGATACACGCAAATGGTTCTCCTTGCAGTTTGATCGTCTGAGAACCTAAGCTCTCCAAATTACTTAAATATATATATATGTACATACATATTTAGTATTCACTTCTTCATACTCGTTTGTTCTATTTAGTTTCTCTTAATTTGGAGTGCACACAATTATTTACATACATATCTAGTATATTAGAATGAGCGCGGGTACAATAACCACATAACACAAAAAGTTGAGGTAGGTTAGGGTTTTAAATTTAGCTTAAGTCTGGAAAAAAATGTTAGTAATAAGGATAGTAATGAATAATTGTCATTAGAATTTTACAATTAGGTTATTTTGCGAAAATCATTTTTTTTTCCTCTTTCTTTTTTTTATACTTATATATATACGTATTTAGCTGAATAAGTAATAAATATCAATATGGATTTGTAAATTTCATATTTTTAGTCTAATTTCTGAAGGGAGTGTGGGAGTAAATTGGGGCTTTATACCAACCACAAAGCCATGGTAGGGTGGGCTAGGTGCAGCAGAGCTAACTAACTGCTGCAGGCTATAGAGATCCTGGGGCTTTCCATTGGAGACAGGTTTATCATTTTAGACGGTTTCCGGTTCTTCTCTAGTGTGCAAATTTCAAAATCTTATCGTGTTAGTGGCGTAAGTGCGGAAGACGGTTGCTTGGTTTATGACCGTGATAATGAACTCCCCCCCCGGACTGAAGCGCCGGTGCAAAGAGCGAGTGCACACGCCGCGGTCGTAAGCAAGCGGTGCAAGCAACCCTCCAAAGGTAGCAGACGGACACATAACA